TGGGTGTGGCCTTGCAGGACATTTGTGCTGCGGCGGGCTGGTCCTCTCCGCACACTTTTGTCCGCTTTTACAACCTAGACCTGGCATCTACCCCAGTTTCCCAAGTTCTCTCTTCGTGATGTGCTCGTAAGATACACACACAGGCAGGGACTTGGTAGTATGGTGCAGTGGGTATTCTCGTTCCCAAAGCGATCTCGACGCAGCTCGTGTTCCTGAAGGGGAACGTCTCTAGGTTACGTATGTAACCATGGTTCCCCGAGGGAACGAGTCGCTGCTTCTCTTTGCCATACTCCCGGCATCCCTGCAGGCGCTACTTCATCGAAGTTGGTTTGCGCTCTGCCAGATGCGCTTTTATAATTTCTGGTGCTTACGTCACCCCGCCCGTGACGTCTCGCTACTCCATTGGGCTGATTTGACACGTGCTTCAGAACGCGGTCACGCAGGGACGTTCCCAAAGCAATCTCGACGCAGCGTCTCGTTCCCTTGGGAACCATGGTTACATACGTAACCTAGAGACGTTTTATATGAGCTGTGCATCAAATTCTCCAGATGTCCAATTACATCTCTTGCTGTTCTGCTCTTTAACTCAACAACTGACCATCTTCACACTTTCTGTTACTCTCTGACTCCTGGAGATGTTCTCTTTCTGCCTTTCTTTCAATGAATTCGGCACTGGCTTTTTTTAGATGATGAGGATAGGTCTGAGAGGTGCTAGATTTGATATAATTATGATTCTACAGCTGCTTTATGTTTCTCTGAGGACACTAAACAGCATTGACGGGACATGCTAAGTCAAAACCAGAGAGCTTGTAATGTGCGTGATGGTTCAAAAGTAAATGCACCATGTTTTAAAAGACAGATCTTCTGAATCATGGTCTGAATCACTGCTGGAACAGATATAGATAAGACGCCTCAAACAGAATGGGTAATTTTCAGGCCTGATTGAAGTCTTGCATCTTAAATGGAGGTGCAGTACTTTAATGGTCATGAAATGAACAGCACAAGATGTCAGAAAAGTGACTCGGACTGATCCACTGATATAATTGGACTAAATTATGTAGTCTCATTACACATAAGATATTGATACTGCTGCTATATGTATAAATCTGAAGTTCTGTCATCTTCAAACCAGCAAGATGAAGTTTTACTGACCGTAAAACAACTACACCACAGCTCATATGCTCATGTTACTCCAGTAAATGTGTTTTACCTGATGGCAGATCTCGTGCACCACCACCATGGTGAGCTCCATCTGATAGGAGAAGGAGGAGACGTCAGGATCCAACAAGATCTTCTGCTCCACAAACACACTCAGGCCCCAGTTCTCCATGGCTGCATACGGATGCTTCGGCACTGCCAGGAGATCTGCACACAGTGAGGAAGATCCAAGCTCAATGATGGGAAACCAGGATTGTGATACAATGCAACAACAAGTAAGTGTAGACAAATATAACAAACAGCAGCTCAATCAAACCAAATATTTCCCAAGTATTGTGGAAGCACTGTATATGATTCATCTTGTTCACTGTAAATGATGTTCTAAAACAGACAAATGTTCTTCTTTACTACATAACTGTACATCATAGAACAAAAGCTCAAATCCCAGATATCATCTGATGTGGATTAGCCTTTAATCAAATGCATGTATCATCTAATTGCTATAATCAAAGATCATTGAATTTTAAACCCAAAACCAGACACAAGCAAAGCAACAAGACACGCAGCTCCATAATCATATTTCCCTCCAAACATATTTAAAATAGCTCCTTTACTCAAGTCAGTGTATCAGTGACACAGCAGACGGCGAATCAGCTATTTAAACGCCTCCCTGGAGCACAAAACCAGTCATAAGGGTCAATTTTTTGAAATTGAGATTTATACATCATTTGAAAGCTGAATAAATAAGCTTTCCATTGATGTATGATTTGTTAGGATAGGCAATATTTGGCCAAGAGACAGCTACTTGAAAATCTGGAATCTGAGGGTGCAAAAAAATCTAAATATTGAAAATTGCCTTTAGAGTCCTTAGCAATGTATATTACTGATCAAATATTAAGTTTTGATATATTTACGCTAGAAAATTTACAAGATATCTACATGGAACATGATCTTTACTTAATATTCTAAAGATTATTGGCATAACAAAAATCAAATAATTTTGACCCATACAGTATATTTTTGGCTATTGCTACAAATATACCTGTGCGACTTAAGACTGGTTTGGGTCACATATATGAATACAGTAATCATTTTGTACAATGGTATATATAAAAGTACCACAATATTACATACTATCATTGTATCCTAGTATATCCACAGTCCTTCTATTTTTTGGAAATTGGATAGTTTACTGCTGTAAACTAAGCCATTATAAGTCACAATACCTGTAGTTGATATGTAAAGCTCCACTCTTTTGGATTGAACAGGTTCACTTTGACAGTGCTGTAACATTGCAGAAACCATGATGATGCAAAGTTGGAGAAATTCCACCTCTCCCTGTCATTCACTCTTTCACATCTGCTATTAAAAGAGGCTGAAGGAATCTGCAAGGGTAAGATGAAGGGACAAAACAGAGGGGGTGTGTAGACCAGGGCACGGTGAATGGCAGGAGATGCAGTAACAAGAGCGTCTGGAAAAACAGCAAGATCAAAATAAACAAACAGCTTGTGTTTTCAGAGAGCAGAACCTCCACTAGCTCCACTAAAGCAATTATTCATCATGTTTCTCACACCTCAGTCTGTTTCACACAAACACACACACAACCTGAGGTCTAGTTCTGAGCATTCAGGTCTATCTGGAGGTCTGTATTACCTGCGCTGTTCTTTGAGGCTGTTTTAGGGCAAGCGGTCCTGGGGCGACACAGGAAGTGTGGCAGAAGAAGGTGGGAGGAAGTGAATGTGAAGCTTTTCTCACAGCAGGGTTCAGTCTGTCAGCGCACACCTGCTCTCTGCTAACGTTCACTTCTTAAAAATCAGCTAGACACTTGTCTGTATACAGAGGGGCAGAATAGAAAGGAATATTTGCATCTCTACATTTTGCTTCTCTTATGTGTTTCCTTCTATTCATCTGTCTGTGTCTATCTATCTATGTGTCTGGCTGCTATTTGGTGTTTTACAGTATGTCGTTTTTAGCATTATTGTTAATATTAGGGATGCAAAAAAAACCGATACTGGTATCGGTATCGGGCCCGATACTGGTCTCCTGTACTCGTACTCGTACTCGTACTCGTTAAAATGCCCCGATATGAAACGCCGATAACACACAGCATGTGATAAGCGCCATATTCAAACAAAGAAACACCGACAACAGAACAACAGACAGCAGAAAGGAGTTAAGGATGTCTACTACGAAGTATATGTATGCAATGAATATAATGTTAAACATTCAGTATTAACGCCTGTATAGCTGGTGTGCGCGAGCTGATAAACAAAGCACGCAGAGTGGGTTGAGCGCACGGCGGCGCAGATGCGCGAGCTTGTCAAGTGAATATATCTTTCTCACAGACATCACTGGAAAGTTTGTAGTTCGGTCGGATATGTCAAAAACAAGTAAGTAAAACAATGCACAAGTTACTTAACGGTAGGGAGAGAGAGAGAGTGAGAGAGAGCGCGCAATTCTGTTGTGTGATCTTTCATGTTCACTCACTTAGCACACACATCAATTGGATTAAAACGAAATTGTAAAAATAAAACCATTCATAGGGGCATTCACTATAAACATCATTTATTTTCAACCTTAGGCATACACGACTTTCTGGGCGAAAGTGAATCTAGCAGCCTGTATGAAATGCGCTAGGCTGTACTACTGTCCTCTCATTCTGCACCAGTACAAATACATGCACGCGTTGTGCGTGTTTTGCTTGCTTGAGTGTTTCTGCATTATATGAGTGGCTTTGGTCCCTCGTCGCCCCCAGGCCCATGGGGCTGCTGAGCGGGAGCAGCCCCAGCCGTCAAGCTCCTCATACCGCCAGTCACAAAGACAGAGCGTTGCAACCCGCACCCCTCCGCAAAAAGAACGGGGGTCGGGCCGACGCTCTCAATCGGGGTCTTCTAGACCAAAGACGGATCTGCGGACCGATATTTTGTCGAAGAGGACCTCGACTAAACGGTCCTGATGCCAATATCGTCAGGCCCCTGAGGGCAGCCCCACCTGGGGAGGATCAATAAAAATGAGACTTTTGTTTCAACAGTTGAAGGGCAGAAATTACCACCATATTTGACATAATCTGTGTTCACACACCTTGTTAACAATTATCACCTTCAAGTGCAGTTCTCCCCACAGGCGAAGACATTTCCAATTATTATATACTGTAGTTATTGGACACACATCGCCTGATGTTGTTATGACTCACTATGATTACACAGTATTTGTCTCAGAGGAAACAGAGCTCTGATAGGAAGAAACGCTGAGCCCCAATCCAATGAAAACACTTAATGAAGTTTCTTCATTAGATTAATACACTTAAACTTAAAATGACCATCAAGGCATCTGTGTTTGAAGTAGTTGTCCATGAACATGCGCAGTGCTAGTTCTTTTGATGCTAGTTCTGTGTGTGAGAGCATGTAAGGGCCATTCACTAGCAACCTGCTTATTCACCCTCAATGCACTAAAAATACACTGTGAGAAATGGAAAGATACATGAATCTGTTTACTCTGTTTACCCTGGTATACTTAATCTCAAACAGCTGCTGCATTACAGACAAGTTCAGTGAGGAATTATGACCATAAAAATTAAAGCTTAATGCTCATTAAACTGAAATATAATAATGCTATTGCTAACTTCACCTTATGCTTGCTAGACTTTTTTTTTTGTTTGTTATTCACTGCACTATATACATAGATTTCTAATGATCATACTCTGCATCACTAGAAAAGACTCCAGCTTCAACATTAGACTTTTGTTTAGTAATAAATCTTATAGTAACAGAATAGCATCACTCATATATAATCCCTTGTATTAAAGCAGTTAAAAGTTGATCTCAACAGCCCAGAAACAGTGACAATAAACTTTCAATCCAGCATTAGCAAAGTCAACGTTTAGGCTTTACACACTTCAGCTGTTAATGCTATAAGCTCTGTCTTGTTTCTTCTGTTTAATAGCTCAGATAAGAGTTAAACTGGCCTGACTTCAGTGCTGGACTCTTTAAGAGTGAGTCTGTTTAGCATGTTAAACTGATGTGATGTGATGAAGGTCTGACAGAGCAGCTGTTCACTTTCACAGACTCTATCATCATATACATCTACTTTCACCTTCAACAGTCTTACAGGATTAGTATCGACAGAACATTCATCAAAGGATTAAAATAAAGAAATTAATAATGATAGCACAAATAAAAAATAACGACAGGCCTTCGAATTAAATAAATTGCTTTTTAGTTTTTCAGGTAGGTCTAACAGTAGGGTTAAGATATTTAACTTTGTTTTTTTTTTTTGTTTTTTACCAATTTTCATTTTCGGCAGCCGAAATTTCGGTGCATCTCTAATTATTGGCGACATCAGAAATGGATATTATATAATAGAAGCTTTTTTGAACATTTTAGCAATTTAAAAATATTAAAAAAGGATTTTTTTACACGGCACCCCTGCTCTCGACAGACGGCACCCCAGGGTGCCGCGGCACCCCGGTTGGGAAACACTGGGATAGTTCACCCAAAGATTATTCTGTCATAATTTACTCTAGAGTAAAGTTGATTTCAAACAAGTTGTTTCAAACCTGTATGAGCTTCTTTCTTCTGTTGAGCACAAAATAAGTTATTTTGAAGAATGTTGTTAACCAAACAGTTCATGGTAGCTATTGATTTCCATGGAAAAAATCCTGTAAAAGTCAATGGCTACCATCAAATGTTTGGTTACCAACATTCAATTAATATTTAGGGCTATTAATATGCAATGCAATAATTAAACTTAAAGTGAATAAAATCAGTTTATATTATATTTAAATTAGGGCTGTCAAAAGATACATTTGTATCTAATTAATTACATGATGCACCGATTAATTAATCTAAGAAATAGCTTGATTCAACATAGAATTTATTACACATAAGGCTTTTATTACACATTTATTACACATTTATTATACTTTTAAAGCTACAATGTGTCCACAACATTGTTTTCCGAAACGGTATCTGAATTGGTATTTAGTTATATTTACAAAGAATTTGTCAAATTCAAACTCTTGCTCGTGTGATGTTGCTAAACTATATTGTATGAAAGACAAAAGTCCATAAAGCTGCATTTTTTTGAACACTAGTTTGTTGCAGACTAAACGCACTGGTTTGTAGCGCAAACAGTTTTACCATTTACTGCACTGTGGTAAACCATTGTTTTACTGCAGCATCAATGTTACAAAACAATAATAATAATTC